TTAGCTGTTCTTTCTGCGTCTTCTAGGGCGCATTCTTTTAGTCGGGGTTTTCAATGGTTGGTTTAGCTTGCTTTACTGGAAAAGGGGGGGGGGCGTGGGGGGCCTTCGTCACGTTTAACCAGCATCCCCAAAGTGAAAGCTCTAGGTTATAATTGTGACTAGGTTATGTGCACCACATAAAATGGCTTAGCATTGCACACCACCAAGAGCAATGAACAGGACTCGTGCAGTGTTGATTACAGGAGACAGGCCCCAATACTGTCCCGACCAGCGATGAAGTCGTCTACCGGTGAGTCAGTAGGCGCCCGGTCGCCGATTTATTCATGGTTGCTTCAGCTGAATATTCATTATGTCCATTATGTCGCTATTTTAGATACTGTTGTGCATGCGCCATTTTTGCTCACACGTGACAATTCGTAACTGAAAGTCACTTCTACAGTATTCGCACGTTGTCATTAACCACCTGGGTTCATTGACAAATTATCTTCTTGGAGGGATTATTTTCTAACCGCCCTCGAATGTGGCTTCTCTTCTCATCGCATATACAGCTTGTAGTTACATACATTTTTCACCTTCATGAGCTTTTCCAGTCTCTTTATTATAGTTACTTACAGTTTTCTACTTTCATTAGCCTTTCCATTCTCTTTAATCTAGTTACGTTCATTTTTTTAACTCCGTTTTCATTTTCAAGCAAATCATTAATTGCTCCAGCTGTCCACTGTAATCCCAAAATTGCTCTGCTGCCCCTAAGAACGTTATGTTTTCCTTGCATTCCAAGACTGACTACCATTTACATGTTTCTTATCGTAAAAGCATTTCCTGACCATAGTTTTTCATGTATTTCCGGTTTTACGTTGACCATGTCGGCTGTATTATTAGTTTATTAGTTTGCTGTTGGTAAAGACTGTTCGAAACGTATTTGTGCGTGTTTCCTTTCACGCCGTTGAGCTTTGCAATCGGGGTTTTATGTTTAGTTACTCCTTGATACAGTAGACGGGCTTGACATAGCATTGTTGATTTATAAAGACCTGAGAAGATAAAATGCTGTAGTTTTGCCGTACCTTCCCCAAGTCTTGTCTAATCACCTGACTGTGGCTAGAAAAATGTTGGCTCACTAACAAGGCAACTTTTGTGTGGATTTCCTTGTTCACCCTAAACTAAAAGTTATAAACGGATTGTTTAAGTACGTAGTAAAGTAAAGGACTTTGATTCCACTGGCGCTTGGAGCAAATGATGTTAGACTCATGTGTTTGTATACCAATCTACACTCGGTTAGCCGTGTGGTTAAAATCACACTGAAGTGGTTACATGGATGTATATTATTGTTCTTCTTTGTCTGCAAGTTAATCTATTTCAAATTTCAGCCGGTATTCTGCAACTACAACTGTGTTTGCCTTTTCTAAGTTGAGTTGATTCAGGAACCTTCATCACAGCACTCGGGGCATTCCCATAAGCGCTCCGTCCCCGTCTTCAGCGGAATTCCAGTACCAATGGCGCTAGTAGCATTCTGATTATACGTCCGTCTTACCTTTCCTCTGAGCGTCGAGTATCGGCCCGATCCACCTCTGTCACTCCCCGCTGCATCACTCTAACCAGACTGGTGATCCATTTGCTTCTCCGAATTGTACACGTTCTCCCACAGTGCCCTAACCACGTCTGCCTCATTATTCATCAGTATTCCACCAAGTCGTGCAGCATCGGCCAGCTTTTTCTTTGGCTGATAAGGACTGTTTGATGCGTTTTGAAAATGTCTGGGCTCTACTCTAAAGATGGAAAAAAGGGCGAATAAATAATACTAAACTAATAAACAAGTTCGGGAAATAGATCATGATTGTTAGTTTCCGTCGTATCCTCATTTTAATTTTAAATTTTTTTAGAAAAGGGGGGGGGGGGGTGGGGGGTTAATTCCTGTTTATCTTTTTTTTTTTTTTTAATTCATCATTTGTATTACTGCGCCATTGCTTGACTTAGCTCTACCGGTATCAGCTCGACATGCTGACACATATGTCGATACATATTTTAATAACTAAGCTGCTGTATGTAAAGAGTTCGCACATTAAGCTAGCAGTATAGTGACCCTAAACAGAGGCAACGTTGATTCTGCCTATATATAAATCAGTGCTAGCCTATGCGGCCACACAGAAAACAGTCTGCTAGTTTTCGTTAAGATTTCGAGTTTCTTGAAATATGCTAAGAAATTTACTAAATCATTCCAGTTAATTTGCAGTATTCGCTACTTCTTGAAGAGCCGTCCGACTTCTTTTGCTGTTTAACCATAAATTTTCTTACATTCTCTCTTTTTTTCTATTTCTCAGCTTCTCTCTGTCTGTCTTTCTCTCTCTCTCTCTCTCTCTCTCTCTCTCTCTCTCTCTCTCTCACTCTCTGTCTCTCTCTCTCTCTCTCTCTCTCTCTCTCTCTCTCTCTCTCTCTCTCTCTCTCTCTCTCTCTCTCTCTCTCTCTCTCTCTCTCTCTCTCGACCATCAGATGTGTCTCGGCTTGTCTGGTTATTGTTCGGATCCTATTTTCCTGCAACAATATACAATAGATACTTTAACAATTTGCTAGAATGATCAGGCAAGGAAAATCCCTGTTCAGCTGCTTCACTGGTTACGAAAAAGCTTTTCATCGATCACCACAACACAGATTCACGGAAAATAATGAGTAAGTGAGATAGAGAAGCCGATAATTGCATCGATTTTCAATGTATGTACTACACAAGAGGTAATAGTGTCATTTGAATGATCAATTACAAACAGCGCGACAATTCAACAAGGGTATTCAGACAAGAGTATTTGCATTGTCCAGGGTTTTACAGTGCATTCTCTAAATGGATGTTGAAATCAGCCGTTGGACAAAGTAAATTGTGGGTGACAATAACCAGAGAGTTCATTAGTGCTTCAGTTTCCTAGACAAAGGTGGTTAGACTACTTGAGAAATGAATAGATCATGATTTTTGCTTTCCAGATCTTCTTGTTCATACCAGTAATTTTTTTTTTTAAACATTCCTCTTGTTTATCATGTACCGGGTCCTTTGCAGAACGTCGCTGTAATATATATTTAACATCCCGGGCAGTCAAAAATCGAAAAGAGTAGCCTAACGGCCCTGCCCGGGCAAAATTTGGAGTTAAAAATCTAACTAAAGTATTTTAGGGTCCTCGCCGGTGCTACAGAGCCTGTGCACTGTACTGAGTTTCTTCGGACTCAGACTTGAGTTGGAAGAAGACCAGAGCACTTATGGGTTACAGCCGTGTGCTATGATGTTGATCCGTTGTTCAAAACCTATATATATCAAAGCAGTGTTTCCCCGATGTGAATTTGAACACATTGTTTGTGTCTTCTTTGTTTATATATATATATATATTTTTTCAACTTTCCTCTAAGGGTTTGTCTTGCAAGTCCTCATTTTCTCAGTTTGTTTCTTTTTCATTTCAGTGCCTATTTGACGATTCTCTGCACAGTTCTTCGGTGGATATGCCAGTATATCCACATCTTCTTTATCTTATATATGTTGATATCAACAGTTTTCCAGACATTTCTTTGATTCCCTTGTCTGTCTTGAAATTATCCATTTACTTTTCATCGGTTTCTTTTTACATTTGATTTCTAATGCATTTAACTTTCGTTCCATGAAGTTAATTTATTGTCCTGACCTCGACCTGGCTGCCACGAGATACGAAGATAAGTCATATTGTGTATTTGTGTAGTAATATCTAATGTATATATGTGCTAAAGAAGGCTCCATAGCCGCAACGTTCAAGTTTTGTTTCTTCTTCTTCTTCTTCTTCTTCTTCGCGTTCACCAGCTGAACACTCTGGCGTAAAGTTCTGGTTGTTCGTCCACTTCTGGACTACAGTTCTGCTCCAGAACCTGAGTGTTGCGTGTGCATCAGTTTTACAGATCTGATTCAATTGAATGCAGACTGCTGGTTCCTTGCCTCTCAGGCAGATGCACTCCGACTTCAAAGGAAGCTCCCCAGTTAGTCGACTCTTACGACATGCTGGGGAGGCAGTGGGTCTATTCTTGTTTTCCCTACAATAGGGCCCCGGAACCCACACGGGGGAAAAAAAAGTTTTGTTTGTGTTTGTTACATTTTGAAGCTCGCTGATATACTTTTCGTTCGGTTTTATATCTTTCCTTGAAGTTACTGGTTCTTCACCTTTCACTGGCATGTCTAGAAAGGTAAATAACATTAAAGATACCTAATTTGGTTTCAACACAATATAGAGTTCCATATTTTATTCAGACTTTTTAAAGCTGCTGTTACCTTGTCAGTGTCTGCCATTATAATTACTGCGTCCCAGAGTTGGACGTAATTTTGTGTTTTAAAGCCCCACCCTGAATGTTGCCGGGATCTCTAATATAACCCATCCTATGAGTTGGACAGTGTTTTTGATACCTGTCCCCGAGTGATCCTCGTCCGAATGGTGGCACTTTGTGTACTGGGTGTTTGTCGCTCGGTGTGATGTCCAGGTGGTATTAGACGTCAGTCAGTCAGTCTATCTCAGTGTCCTTATTTGTTTTTCATCATCAATCAAAGCTGCTACTAATTATTCTGGTCTCTCTCTCTCTCTCTCTCTCTCTCTCTCTCTCTCTCTCTCTCTCTCTCTCTCTCTCTCTCTCTCTCTCCCCTCCCCCTCCCCCCCCCCCCCACGACTTCGAAGGGTGCCCTCAATTAGTCAATTCCTACAACATGCTTTTTGAATAGGCTGTGGGTCTTTTCTTGTCTCCACCCCTCCCTCCCTCCCCCCAATGGTTCTCAATGATTTGTCGTATGTTATTGTTTGATTAAGACTGTGGATAAAACCTCCAGTTGTATCTGCACACGTCTTTTCCTTTCCGTCAGGTGATCTGTCTAGACATTACGCTGTGCTAATTCAACTCCTGGTAAAAACCCAGCTGCAGGCGTCCCTGCTGTCGTCATAATTTTATTTGTTTCATTACCTTCTTGTACATTATAGACTAACATTTTTAAGAAACTGTGCATCTTTTGTCTTTCTCAGGTGGTCAGAAAACGCCTGAACAAAAGTAGTTCCAACTCCAGCAGCCTCAACTACATAGATTGGGACCCCACAGATGGCGCCTTTGATCCAGCGAAGGCCAATTTAAACTCTCGCAAACGTTTAATCAACAAAGAAATTAAAGACAGAACAATGCAGGCGATGCAGGAGGAAAATTTTAAAGACGAAGATGTTGAAGATGACAACATAAACATTCAGAACCTGTTTGTCAAATCAAATCCCAGAAGCGCAGACGACATTGCATCCGCCGTGCAAAACAAGGGCGGGAACATGGGCAGCGATCAGGTCTATGGTGCCAGGGCTAACTATAGCATCCCAGAAGTTGAAGAATTCGTGAACAAGTTTCAGGCCAAATACCAGTCATCGAAATACTCTGTGGTCAGCGAGGAAAAGTATATAGTATTTTTGAAACGAATAAATGCCCTAAGGAAGAAAGGATCGCGGCTACCGGCATATAAACACAACAAAGGGTGAGTTATGTTATCATAGTCTACGTCTTTGCACATTGGGCATTCGCCTGCGTGCTTAGTCTTTCGATGCAACAGTTCCTCCAAGGTACATTTACTAATTGTTCCCACCAGGAGTTGGTTATAATATCTCCTATCTTTACCTTAAAGACGGCATAGACGTGTTTCGCCAAGCTTAACTTCTTGGTTACACAATCGTCTTAGCGTCAGAGATTCAGCATTATCCTCCAACTTAGTCTGTACACCGTTGATGATGTCATCTCTGTCCGTGCTTCTCCCCGTATTGTTTCGTGCTTTACTTGTTCCAACAGGTTGGCTCGTTCATTGTCATTTATTCCCATAACGAATGAGTGCCTTGTGCTGGGTCCTCGTAGTCTTCAGTTGTTGGAAAGATCTTCACAAACCTCGGTCACTGTGTGGTTTCCCTTCTGCTGACGTTGTTGTAGCTGTTGTTGGTGCAGTTGTTGTTGTTGCTGTTGCTAGTGTTGTTGTGGTTGTTGTTGATATTGTGGTTGATGTTGTTTTTATCATTAATGTTGTTCTCTACCTTTTATCCCTCCAACTCTTGCATATTCTTCGTTGTCCCTTTCTTCCCTTTTCTACTTCTTCCTCCTCCTCCTCCTTTTCACCCTCCTCGCTTATGATTCAGGTTCTCGTTGTGCTGTCTGCGTACCTGCACTGCCTGTCTGTCAGCTCTCTCATATGAACGCAAACTAATCATATGTGTCTGTTAAAATGCAAACAGTGTCGAAGACACAGCTGGACACCGCCACGCAGGAACCAAACCAACAAACCCAAACATTTATTCAGAAACACGACCCCTTGTCCCTGCCGACAATAACATGTACTGAAGTGTCAGTGACCTTCAAATGCTGCATAATTCATGCGCACATCTTGTTTACACAAGTTTCACAAAAACAGAATATGTGAAGTGACTGATTATGTTATGTTTACAACATTGTTAGGCCGGACAGGATATACAAATACACAAATGAAGACCCGAGGCATCAGATCTAGGATCTTAGTCGCCTTATTCCCCTCCTCCCACTCCCAACCGCAATAACACAAATTTAGACTAGGAAGGGAGGGGGGTTGAACTCTCTGCACCCAGTTTGATAGAAGGCAATGCTGCCCCTTTCAACCCCCCCCCTTCCCCCTTTCCCCCTTCCCAGTCATTTCTAAAATACTATTATATGTATGTCTCATTAAGCATATTACTATTATTAAGCCCTTAAACAGGGCTTATGTTCCCTTGAGCCTCATTCTATATAATTTGTAATAAAGCTGAGCCCTAAATCCCCTTTTCTCTCGCTTTCCCTCTCTTTCTCTCTCTCACATTCCCTCTCTTTCTATCTCTCCATCCCTCTCTCTCTCTCTTTCTCTTTCTCCCTCTCTCTCTTTCCCTCCCTCTCTCTCTCTTTCTCTTTCTCCCTCTCTCTCTTTCCCTCCCTCTTTCTCTCTTTTTCTCTCTCTCTCTCTCTCTCTCTCTCTTTCTCCCTCTTTCTTTCTCTCTCTCTCTTTTGCTTTCCCTCTCTCTCGCTTTCCCTCTCTCTTTCTCTCTCATTTTCTCTCTCTCTCTCTCTCTCTCTCTCTCTCTCTCTCTCTCTCTCTCTCTCTCTCTCTCTCTCTCTCATGTTTACATTTATTAGTTCTCCTGGTGAAGACAGCTAAGTAAATACATCCTCCCCACCCCCCCCCCCTTTCCCACACCCCTAAGGCCAACACCTAACATTACTATTCAGTTTACGCAAGAAAAGAAAACAAGTTCAAGATCAGAGGAATGTTCTATTGAAAAAGGATGGCCAATATATTCAGATGGGGCAACAGGCACGCCAGAAACACTTCATTTTCCTCTGCAGACGCTGAAATTTGCATTCTGGATTTGTTTGATGACATCTCAGTGGCAATCGTCCCTTGGAGACCTTTGGTCAAGGACCCACTATCAAGGTCATGTAAGGGCAAGGGTTACCAGGAGAGTTCATTGATTGGTTGATTTTATTCAGAGAGATGTCAGACAAAATAAGAAGGAAAACTAGTTAACCTGACTTTATTACAATCACGAACGACAAATGAACGTTGCGACTAGGAAGCCTTCGTCAGCATATGACTTGAATAGATAATTTTAAACAAGAATACACAAAGATCACTTAATTGAGATCTCTCCAAGAAAATATCCGCATATCTGACCGGCAGAAGCTCTGAGACACTGATTAGGTTATTTTTTTTTTAAAATCAAATATCACTTTGGTTGGTTGATTTTATTTATTTTTTAAGATTTAACATTGATGGTTGATTTTGTTTATTTTTAATTGTCATCGCACTGGTGCTTTATCTCTACCTGTTGTTAGTTTATGCTAGGCGTGTGCAGCTGTGTGCACGAACTCGTTAACCTGTGTAAAACGTCTTAAATTTGTGTGACATAATTTACCCATTTCTATATTTGTTTTGTTGTAGATAGTTGATTTTGAAAATTTTACGTAATTTACAAATTGTTTTCACGGCAGAACCCTGTATTATTCACACATTTGAAATGTTAACCTTGACCCCCCCCCACACCCACACACACACCACACACACACACACACACACACACACACACACACACACACACACACACACACACATGTAGTGTGTTGAAAGTTTTTCCAATGCTAACTTAGACACACATTTTAAACGTTAATTTTGTCACACTTGACTCGTTGATTATGACACTCACAGTAACTTGAAGCGTTAACTTTGACATGCAATCACTTAAAGCGTTTGCTGTCTTACACACGCACGCGAGTGTGCATATTTTCCCTTCAGATGCTAACTTTGACCCATACTGGAATCAATAACGTTGACACACACACACACACACACACACACACACACACACAGACAGATATATAATCACTTTAAATGTAAATTTTGACCCACACTAGAAGCGATAACTTTGACACACACACACACACACACACAAACGCACTAGTGTTTGCTTCAAATAATTACTATGACCCACACTAGAAGCGATAACTTTGACACACACACACACACACAAATCACTTCAAATTAAACTTTGACCCACACTAGAAGCGATAACTTTGACACACACATACATACATACACGCACACACACACACACACACACACACAAATCACTTCAAAGGTAAACTTTGACCCACACTAGAAGCGTTAACTTTGACACACTCGTGTGTATTTACCCACACACAGAAGCCTGGCCTGGGAAAGGTTCCACTACGGCATCCATCAGTATTACCTCTACGACCCTGATGACGTCAACATTGACGGCGTGTTGAAAGATCTCGCTGGAAATGAAATCACCAGTGTTGGTAAGTGCATTTGTTTTCTGTGTTTCCCTGAGTTCATGTGTGTGCTGTCTCCTTCTCTTCTCTGTCTTCCTAGTGTTATTATTTCCATCTGATTATTTTCTCTATCTTTTCTATGTTATTGCCTCTGCTTGTTGTATTCCGTGTCTTCCTTGTGTTATTCTCTCGTCTTATTAGGTGCTTTTCCAATATCTCCCCTCAAGATGACGTCACAGGACAATCCAATATTTTCGAGGGCGGTTAGAGCGGGTTTCCTGGCTTTCTGATGCTTTTAACTATCTTGAACTGGACTGGGCCTAAACCCAACCTAACTGATTTGCACGAGAGAGTGCAACCTAGGTCCCACGACTGCATGCAGCCTATGTCCTACGACTGCATGCAACCTAGGTCCCACGACTGCATGCAGCGTATCTTAACACTCCGTTAAATATTCGACTGTCTGTTTGGGGGGAGATATTATGATAGAACCTCTTATTATGTTCTTTGTCTTCCTTATGTTATTTATTCCGCTTGTTATGTTTATCTGAACCCAGACACTCTCACCACGTCCCCTTTATTAGATATGTAAAAAAAAAAATAAGATTGTTATAGGAGCAGCAGCATCTAAACAATCAGCCTGCTTACTTCCCAGCACACTACGGCCATTCCATGTGCAGAAAATCACAGATGTCCAATGACATGAAAGGATACAAACTTGAACCGTGTCACTCTACATGTAACATACAGGATTATATTTTCTACGTATGCCCTGCCAGTCTGATACAGATTTGGGTGCTCATATAATTCACACCCCCTCTTTTTGCCCCTCCTCAATGTACTTTATTTTTAATTCACCCTAAAGGAAATCCCGGAGTTCCCAGGGAAGTGCAGTATTCTGGGGGGGGGGGGGGGGGGGGTTATCGATTGGGGTTAGGGTTAAGTTGTCTCTGAGGTGGTAGTGGCTGGCAAAGATCCTAATCTAAACCCCATCCCGTAACACCCTTAGAATATTGTACTTCCGCGAAAACTCCGGGATTTCCTTTGGGGTGAATAAAAAATAAAGTACCCCGTTAACACATTTCGTTACCGCCTCTACCAGGGAGCCACTGTAATGTAGTGGCTAGACGCTAGCCCGCGGGCCCGAAGGTCTTGAGACAGATTTTGTTTCTTTTCAGAAATGACCTTGGCTTCCATGTCGACATAGCCTAAAATGGGTACAGGTAATGTCTTGGGAAATAGAGACAGTCGGCGTGATGTTGACCATGTCATTCAGTGGATGTCGATTGATTTATAAAACAAATATTAGTATGCCCGATGGGCCACTGGCGTACTAAGGATCTTTACCATATCCCCCGCCATTCTTATGCCATTACGTCATCAAAGAAGACAGTGAAGCCTATGCTTTTACCGCCAGCAACATGTCAGTGGGAGTCATGGCTGTGACAAAGGCCATAGAAATACTGACAACTTCGGGATTCACCAAATCCTGCTTTCTCAGCGACTCACTGAACATGCTAAAGAATATGGCGCCTTCTCCATGACTACCAGCAGCATGACAATGGAGGTGATAGCGGTGACACAAGCTTTCATGTGGCTAGAATCACTGGACTATTCCCGCGTGTGTGTGCTGAGTGATTCTATGAGCATGATCGGCGGGTCGAGGCAGGCTGGTTACACAGACAGTAGATTGAGTCTTTGCAAATCTCTCCTGTGTGTGCAGTTACCTTCATAATCGTCCCACGGTATGCAGGCGTTGTTGGTAATGAAAGAGCTGATAGATGGCATGTGCTGCATTAATTTAAGATCGCCGGCCTATGGATAACGCAAACATTGTCATTGCCCTTAGAGAGATAGGACGTTCTGGGGATTTTGGAAGCAACGTATCCACATCTCTGCTAAGAATTCGAAAATTGGGAGTCCAGATCGGCACAGCCAAGCATGAGAAGCACACCGAACGCACACGAAGTCTTGTTAACCAACATAGGACTGGCACTATTAACCGCGCGGCTATGGATGTGTCCGGAGTTTTGTGAAGATAATCTTACTCATTACTCAGGGCGGGGCATATACAGAAATCCATGGCTCCCTCTGATACAGCACGCGGTGTTTCGCAAAATCACCCTCATTTTTTCACAAGTATGCTAGTATAAAATGCAATGAGAAGGCAGACGCCTTGGCTGGCAGTGCGACTATCAATAATGGGCCATCTGTGAACAGGAGAGACATCATCAATGACATACGAGAGACTAAACGCTGTGAGGTTTTCACTTTCGAGAAAATTATTTTGGTTTTCACTTTTGAAGGAAAATGATTTTTTACTGAATAGACTGCATACCCGGGGTGTACCAATCGGAGAAGGAAACCATGCGGGAGCCACCCGTTTTTACATCAGCTAGAACAGAATGGGAGTTGTCAGCCTAAAAATACTTGTAAACATACTCAGAGAGAGATCTTAGCACTTATGGTCGATTTCGATACCTTATGACGATGATCTTTAAATGAACAATTCTTATGCTGAATGTGACACAATCTCCGTTTTCTCCTTCAGTGAAACCCCGCCCACAGTTTTTTCTTATCAGAACAGAGCATCTGTTCATACACGTCACCTGGTATGAATTGGTTTTGATCAACTGTTGCACCGAAACCCGGACATTAGCCTTACAGTTGTCACACTAGCTAATTAGTGTTTGATAGTCACGTGGTCTTGATAGCTGCAGATCTTCTGTGTGTTTATATACATTTGTAGTTTTTGTTGTTGTTGTTGTTGTCATCGTCACTGTTGTTGTTTAACATTAACATAATAAGAGATGTATGAGGGAAGAGGGATGATAAATTAAATAATGCTTGAAAGAAAGAGGTGATAGGGCAGATTGTTAGACATGTCTGCCGTCAACTACTTGAACCCGTAGAAGAAAAAAAAATGTATTAGTTAACTTTGAACCATAAGCTTCTTTTCAGGGACCCAGTTTGTAGCACACAACATTGAGGTGGGTGGTCACAACTCTGGCCAGTGTGAAACCTGACGAAGGGATACCTTCACGGCCTGAATGTTTCACCTGATTTATATGAAATAGCGGAGTGATCGCAATTCTCACTCTTTGCCTTGTCCTTAATTCTGGTTACTTCATAGTTGTTAGGGGCTCCCATATAACCTTACGATTCAACAGGGCTTACTGGGATTCATAAACGTATTCTCTGGGTAGTAAGATGGGACGCCTGTGTGTACTGTTGTGCAGTTTAAAAAATCACTTAGCAGTTGGGAATCTAAAAGATTTGCCTAGTGGCGCTGCCCGAGAACAATTTTGAGTTCAAAATCTACCCAAAGTATTTCAGGATCTTCGCCGGTGCTACGGACGAAGTTCGTGGACTACACTAAGGTTTTTCGGACTTAGACTTCAGTCAGATGTAGAAAGGAGCGCTAATGGGTTACTACCATTGTGCCATGATGTTGATTCATCATCTAAATCTAAATCTGAGTTGTTAATCTAGCGGACTGCAGTCTTGGAGGGGACAAACTGCAAAACATACCAGAAGCGAGAGTCAAATTGTAAGCTTAACCACCAAGAGAATAATACATTAATTAGTATTCAAGACCGGTACCCAAGATTCGCTCCATTACCTTTCTAGAGAAGGACAATGTATCGCATTCAATCTTAGGACAGGGCGCCACAGACTCCTTACAATTTATTCCCAGTACTTCGGTGTGGGAAACGCGGAGATGTGTCGTTGCAGCTTGGCACTTGAGAATGTTGAGCGTGTACTCCAGTTCTGTAAACTGTTATCTGCCAAAAGAGAAGCAATCTGGCCTGTTCCAACCTCAACCAAGACAAAGCAATGTGGTATTTGGGGAGATGTAGACAGCACAATAGCTTGAAGCAAAGCAAAGTTTGCCTCCTAATCTATGGTTGTTGTTTCTCTGACAGACGCATCAGGGAGTAAGAAACTGCTTCCAACTCTGGTTTAAGTAGATTTGTTTAGCCTCATGATAGAGACAGAGAGAGAGAGACGGGAGTTAGAGTTAGAGGAAGAGATAAGTAATGTATATTTTAAAAGAGGGAGAGGGACAATGTACTTGAAAGTGTGGGTGTTTCTGGAAAAAAATGTGTTCGTATCAAGAAGATCCTCAGATCATAAAGTTTAACTGTTAATATTGTCAATTGCCATGCTTTCAGAACAAAAGGAAGGGGGAACACAAATCAAACTGATCATGACCTTTGAGAATGAAGCCGAGGCATTGTTTAAACCAATGAGGTAAGCAATTGATACCCCCTATTCATACGATTGCATAAATACATCAGTGGGACTCACGGGAAACTTGGTAGTGCGTCCTGTTCATTGTTTGCCTGTGGGACATGTGTATACTTTATTTTTCTGGTAACAACTTTCAGTACCTTTTGTAAGTGTGTTGACTGTACATATGTGTGTATGCTTGTAGTGTATTCTTACTTCCATAATCATCATCAGCACCATCATGATGTGCTCTTATATATCACAAGGGGATTTTTCCATAATGCTAAACAGTAAGGTCAGTGGGTCACCATAGTAAAGTTGTCAAGCTGTTTCTTTGCGGTCTGAAGGCCACAGGCCCATTTCATGGACACGTCTATTTCAACAAAGGTGCAGTTTTTACGAAGATCCCTGGTTATGTAGCTGGCGCTAAGTAGTTCGAGCTTTGTCTGGTGCTTTTTTCAGATGACTCAGAAAGCCAGGCCATATGGGAATAGCCCTGTGAAACATAGTCGAAAAGATTGACTGTAACTTGTACATTCATGCTTTCTTATGGTAAAGTGTGTTATTACTTGATTATTGAATAAGTTAATAAATTATAGAAAATACTACAGGATTATGGAGTAAACGAACATCTGATTAAATCGTGCAATATTTTTTACGTGAACAGTCAATGCGCAGATAGAACAAATACAAGAGTGTCAGAAAAGTTCTACATTAGATCTTGAGTGAGACGGGCTGCGTTCTATCACCACTACTGTTCATCAAATAGGTCGACCAAATTTGCAGATCAGCTAACACCAGCGAAGGAGACACCATCGGAGCATTACTGAATGAATTGTTTTTCGCTGATGACGAAGCAGTCATAGCAACGACAGCAGTACATCTACAAGAACATATTAATAGACTCCACTTAGAATGCGACAACTATGATATGAATATCAGCATAGACAAAACAGAAGTGACGATATTCGTGACGGACAAAGAAGAAACACCAATATCAAAAGTGATGAACACCAGTTAAAGCAGGCAAAGGATTTTACATATCTGGGGAGCATTTTTTCAGAAGATGGAAGAAATAATAAAGAAATCCAACAAAAATGCAACAAAGCCAATCAAGTTTTGGCTAAATGAAATACAAGCATGTGAATATTAACATTTAAAAAAAAAAAACACGGTTCAACACAATATTCTTACCAACACTATGGTGTCAATGTGAAACATGGACACTGTCTTCAGAAGACAGAAGGTACATATTCACAACAGAAATGAAACATTTATGTTCTATGCTAGATCAAGTGAGGAAAGGCTGACTTAGGAATGATATCAGGAGGAGAGTCGGCACAGAACCAATACTGAACTTGGCTGTCTTCCGAATAACGGTCCCAAAATATCGAGGCCGAAAATATACCCTAACAGGGTCTCAGTGACGTGTCCATTGCGAACTTCCGTGGACTATACCGCAACCATCGAATTGCGTACTTCCGGGGACTATACCGCCACCGCCGAGAGTATCCCCTACGCCGCTCCGGGGCGTGGATTTGGGCGCAATTAGATGGCATACAGTTTAGACCCAATCCACGCCGCCGTGGGGGATACTTTCGGCGGTGCCGGAAGTACGCAATTTATGTCGCCGGAAGTCCGAAAGTGACACGTGACTGAGGCCCTGTTAGGGTATATTTTCGGCCTCGATAATCTGGGACCGTTATTCGTAGGATAGCCCTGAACTTTAAAGGTAGACAACAAATGAAATGGTTAGGCCATGTAACATGCTTGGCAACAAACAGGGCACCACAGAGAGCAATGTTATACAGATGTAGCGGTAACAGAGAGAGGTCGACAATGCAGAAGATGAATAACAGAAATATAAGAGATACGGAAACTTACTTTATAGGAAGCGAACAGAAAGGCCTGTTCCAGAGATCTGTTCCTGCCCTGATGTTGCGAGGCATTCTAGGAGTACAGAAAAGGAGAATTAGTAAATTGTGATTTTATTCCATTTTTGAACTGGTTGAGTTTTTATAATTAGGGCTGTACTGAATACTGATTTTCACTATTCGGCCGAATACGAATAGTGGGCCCAACTATTTGGCAGAATACAAAAAGTGTATCATCATCATCAGGTGCCTTGCCGACTAGCGTGGGCGAATACCTGCGATCTCCTGCAACATGTATTAGTAGTTCGTGTGCTGACACACCTCCATGCCATGCAACAAGACTGTCAAGAATCTTCTCTCGTTGTCTTACTCTATCTCTCCTTCCACAGATCTTTCCAGTGGTCACCACATGTTCCATTTCACCTATTCTGATAACATGGACGAAAAATTATGACTGTCTCCTTCTGATGTCTGTGATTAGTTGTCTTCCGCCGCTTTCAAAACCATCATTCGCTCGGTCGTTCGTTCGATGTAATTTAAACGCACCTTCATATTCTTGTTAGCACTTTCTTCAAATTTGATTTGGGCAAAGACACCCTGAAAGCACGAAAAAATGCATGATCTCTCTCTCTCTCTCTCTCTCTCTCTCTCTCTCTCTCTGTCTATCTCTCTCACACACACACACACACACACTCACACATACACACAAACACACACACACAAGCAACAAAAAATAATGCATTGCCTTTAAATATAAGTGCTTACTTGATGATGCTAACAGTTATTATTGTACAAACCACATTTTTAGCCAAAATGTAATCACAACCTTACTTATCCGCTGCACCTTCATGAATACAGATGGAGGATCGGTCGCACCTCGAGATAAATACAAAGACAATTTTTAGCACCCTGTGGTTGGCATTTTATGCAGTATGATACACTTTGAGTGTGAAACAAGGAAAACTATTTACAGTGGCGAGGAAAGACAATTTAAATTTTAACTTTTAAGTATCTTCATGCCTTCTTTAATAATGGTACAATTTATAGCCGACTTTTCTTGGTTTTGCCGCGACACCTCTGGCGTATGCATCCAGTTTGAGAACCTCTGCTGTAATGCCTCGGTCGAGTCAGCAGGCAAAGACCTTGCCAGCTGCTGTACTATGCAACCGAATTGCAGTTTCCCCTGCTACCACTGACTTTGGCAACAGCAACTATTGTGTTAATGAGAGAGTTATTTCAGTCCATCACAGTGTATGCAGAAACGTGTGTAAGGTAACCACTATTTGTATTCGGCCTGACCGCAAGTATTCGGCCAAATACTGAATAGTTACTTGGTCCACTATTCGACCCTGAAGCGAATATGAAGCAAATGTTCGGTACAGCCCTGATTATTATATCCCTAATAATTTGGTTAAGTACATTTGTATTGCTTTATTGAAGTGTTTAAGTTAACTGCCTATCGTTCAAAGAACCAATCCCAGCATTTTGTGACTCTTTGTGATTTCACTATGTTTTTTTAACGCTGAGCCTACTGCCAAAATCGATGCAAAATGGTCTGTAGTCAAAATATCTGCTGCTGGACTGAGACTTATTATTTTTGAATTATATGTGCTCGCAGTGCCTAAGGCCTAGCAAGCCGGCAATGGATTTATTATCGCTACAGAAAACACAATGAGATATAAACAGACTGATCAAATGGTATCTGACCATGGCAATGTTAAGGGACTACGAGACAGAAAAGCGAAATTCTTACAGCATAAGACAATCCCAATCAGCACAAAGAGATATCTAATTCAAAGCATATTTATTCCAACTCTGTGCTACCAGTGCCAGACATGGTCACTCACAACAAAACATAAAAGAAAATAAGTAACCACGGAAATGAGATGTCTGAAAAGGGCTGTAGGAGTGACCATAAGAGATAATATCAGGAATGAGATCATAAGAGAAAAAGTCGGCACAGAACCAATTCTGGATTACATACGAAGACAGCAAGTGAAATGGTTTGCCCACTTAGAGAGAATGCCTTGTGACACCATACCTAACAAAGCATACATGGAAAGAGAAGAAGGACGTAGAGCATGAGGCAGACCAAGAACAAGATGAAAGGATAACATCAGAGAAACTACAACAGCACGATGTGCCTATGGTCGAGGCGGCCAGAAGAGCTAGAAACAGAACCTTATATCTCCCTCGACACCCACAGCGGTAAAAGAGGAAGTGAAGAAGAAGAAGAAGAAGAAGCAGTGCCTAAGCCACCAGCACTGAATTGGTTTAAGTAGAGTAAAAAAAAAGTAGAGGACGCCTTTCCACACATTTTGGCATATTGGGCATGTACAGCTGCACCTATATTTTGTAGACAGGTCAGGACTGGGCAATTGATGTGGTCAACATCAAGCTGGCTGCCTTTCCTTAACCCTTTGAAAATAAAGATTGTTCGTTCGTTCGTTCGTTCGTTCCTTCCCAGTACTGTATCTCCTACCCACAAAAGACTGGGGTCGACCTGGAAGCCAAGATCATTTTGGAAAAAAGTCCAGGCTCCTTCAGGACCCAAATCCATGACCTTCCTATCCACAGACGAGCATCTAAACGCTACATCACAGCGACTCTAACTGCATTAGTTTAGTAAACATTATTTCCTTATTGCCTGGTGAAGTTGAACTGCTTGATATGATAATTGTTGGTCCACATTTTTTTATAGTATTTTGTTTCCATGGACAGATTTTCCAGAGAGCAGGAAACATTACCAGACCATTTTTACTTCGCTGATTTTGAAAGACACAATGCTGAGATTGCTGCATTCCATCTGGACAAGTGAGACATCATTTTCTTCCAAATTTACATATACATAGATACATATGCATGCTTGTACATGTACACATGCATACACAGCAATTATTTTTAGATATGCACGGGTGTAGGCTGTACACTCACCTTTGTTTTCAATTTTAATTTGTAAGCTAAATAATAGATTTAAAAAAGTTAGTTGTGTATCCTTTACAGGATGTTGCAGAACCAACCCCTGCATTTTTTGGCTGTTGTGGTTTTTCTAGGAAAGTTTATGTCTACTAGTTTGCCATTGCTTTCTGGACAGTCGGCTTCTCGATACCTCTGTAGAAACCAGCACAAGGCCCACAGCTGGGATTGAATCCGGCACCCTGGCATTACGAAGTGCGTTCGCAACGCCTAAGCCACAGACGTGGACAGATTTAAAATACATAATTTAAATAAGACACACACAGCATGCACACCTACTTTATATATATATATATATATATATATATATATATATATATATATATATATATATATATATATATATATATATATATATATGTGTGTGTGTGTGTGTGTGTGTGTTATATGCGTATATGTCATTGGTGTGTGTGTGTGTGCGCATATGTGTGTGTGTGTGTGGTGTGTGTCAATTATATATGTGTGTGTTGTGTTATATAACTCAAAAATGTCAATCTCATGTAGGTAAAGAAAAGTAAAACGGATGTACAGTTATTTTATCACAAGCAATGCCACTGCATGCTGAGCGTTTACTGTCCCTCACATTTACTGTCCTCTGCATTTACTGTCATCCGCATTTACTGTCCTCCGCATTTACTGTCATCCAATTGAGCAGTGAACCAAGGCACCTCTACTGATTGTTTCCAAAGGGAATACAATAACCTAGTGAGTTTAAAATAAATATATAATGTTCAAGAAATATAATCCAAACAAATTAGAGAGATCTAATGTGTAAGGTTTCTCTACCTGTTGTTTTCATGTCATGTAATGAATAAGCTGGAAAAATATAAGATGATAAAAATTGTTTTAACTTTTTTGAAAAATAGTTATTGAAAAAATGTAGAAACTTGGTCTTGATTTGGTTGCAGTCTAAGATATGGAGGTCTAATACTGAGACATCTGGGGGAGAGTTAAGGGAAGGGGGATAATTCAAAGCATGAAAGAAAAGGATGTTACTGATAAACATCACATTGCACATTCATGCTAAAACATTAGACTTAACGCAGAGCTGAAAAAACCTGCAGACAATAGTAGATATTGAAATTAAATGATTCAAGTGAATAGAGAAATGACATGATTTAAAAAAACTTGAAAATTCTCACTTGAATATGCTCTGAATGAGTAGAAGGCATTTTAAAGTCACACTTAACCCCCATTGCCAGAGTCTGCACACCAAGACATATATCAAATGAATCTCGTCATCCCTTAGTGGGATGCAATTTTTTGTTATTTGAAGCCCTACTCTGGCTCTTGCCAGATGCTGCAATATAGCCAGGCCATAAATATGTTCTAATGACTGAATGCGGTTTCTGGGTCCTCATCCACATGGTGCTACTTTGTGTCGTAGGGTGTTTATCACTTGTGTGATGTCCTGGTGGGGTAAAAGAAGATAGATAGATAGACCAAGGCATGCCACAGTAAAAGATACAGATCAAGCTGACCAACTGGCAAGTAATGCACAGAGGCATGTGGGAAGAATCATGGACTTAGCTGACATTTTCATGCTGTACAGACTAGCTGGGATATAATCATGAATCTCTGACGCTAACATGATGGGTGACCTGGAAGTAAAGCAGGTGAAGCATGTCTGTGTCATCCTCAAGGTTTAAAAAAGGGGGGATATTAAAACCAAATTCTTTTGGGAACAATCAGTAGACGTACCTTGGAGTGGCTGTTGTGTCTGAGGACTAAACGCACTTATATATAAAATTACAAAATCTACTCATCATATTCCTAAAATAATGATTTATGTTTTTACTATAATTTACTTTTTTTATGATACAAAAAAAAATATCTTTTTTTTAAAAAATATTTATCTTTATTTAATTTCTAAAGCTTGGGAGTAAGGTAAAAAACCAATTTTAAGCCAGCGGTACATTGTTCGTATGATACAAGCCTTATATGTTTGTATACTATTCAGCGCTCGATGGGTGATGTGGTCAACATATTCTAGCCACCTTTACTTCCCAGGACATTACCTAATGCTAGGGAGTGATTTATAATGATTTACCTTGTGTATGCTATGCCACAGTATTTTTATTACATTTTGAAAAACTGAACAAATGCAGTCTGTCAGAAGGCATTGATTATTGTAATTTTTTTTTCAAAGGGTCCTTGGATTTCACAGAGTACCTCCGACCGTGGGCAGATTGATGAACATCAGCAGCGACATCCAGCGAGTAGCAGATAAAAAACTGGCCAAAACATTTTTTATCTCTCCTGGTAAGTTGGTCAGTATAAGAAGTATTGAATTACATCAATTTAAAATTTGTGTGATAAGCCTCCACTCGTACATCATCATAAATACACATTGGTAGGAATTTCTTTAAATTATCCTGTATGTAACATTTTATAATTAACTTCATTTATAAGAAGAATGAATGTTTACACCACAACATTGCTTTGTTACTCACATTTGCATATGTTTAATTCAAATGTTGTGTCTGTAAAATTTTGTCATAATTAAACTGGATTGGAATGTAATTGCCTTTTTCTTTTTAATGTTTACTAGGGGTAAACTCAAGCGGAAAGTTCTGATTGTTCATCCACTTCCGGACATTTGTCTTGTTCCAGAACTTGAGAGTTGCATGCATATCCATTTTAAAAATCTGGCTTATTTATGTGCAGATTGTTGGTTCCTTGCCTCTCAGGCTGATGCATTTCAGCTTCAAAGGAAACGTCCCTAAATAGTCTATTTTTAGGACATGCTTGGTGGGGGAAGTAGGTCTATTCTTTGTTGCCCCCGAATCCTCATGGGGAGTATTGATTTAAATTGATTTAAATGCTTCATTTGTTTGGAGATAGGAAAAGAATATCCCACATATAAGTTTGTATGTGTAATACTCACCCATGCATTGAACTACACATTTCATTAAGGTGTTATCCTCATTTGCAGGTAGCTAATTCTAACATACAGCCTTCAGTTTTCATATTATCAAGTGCATTCTGTCTGCATTTCTTCTTAACTTCTGTGATGGCTGATTATTAACTTCTAGGTCTGAGTAATTTTTAAATAATTTGGCAGACCTACGAACTCCTATAAAAGTAAAACTCTTAAATGCATACACTTTTTTTTTTTCAAACATTCTTCTCAGTAATAAAAGTAGCCCTGGTAGATAGTTTTTTTTTTTTTTTTTTTCTAAAGCCCTCAGGTGTCTTATCCTCACTTCTCTAGTTAGTGTAAATCTCTTCAGTGTTATCATCACATTCTTGCCAATAGTATAAAAGCACCCCTTGTAGATACTTTTACTTCGTAAAAGCACTCAAATGTCTCATTCTGATTTCTCTTTTTAGTTTAAATATTTTCAATGTCATCAAATTCTTGCCAGTAGTATAAGAGCACCCTTGTAGATACTTTTACTTTGTAAAAGCACTCAAATGTCTCATTCTGATTTCTCTTTTTAGTTTAAATATTTTCAATGTCATCAAATTCTTGCCAATAGTATAAAAGCACCCCTTGTAGATACTTTTACTTTGTAAAAGCACTCAAATGTCTCATTCTGATTTCTCTTTTTAGTTTAAATATTTTCAATGTCATCAAATTCTTGCCAGTAGTATAAGAGCACCCTTGTAGATACTTTTACTTTGTAAAAGCACTCAAATGTCTCATCATCACTTCTCTAGTTAGTTTAAATCTTTTCAGTGTCATCGTCACATTCTTGCCAGTAGTATAAAAACACCCCTAGTAGGCATTTTTTTTTTTTTTTTGTAAAAACCCTCTGTCTAATTCTTACTTCTCTTGTTTAAATCTCTTCAGTTTCATCAAATCTACTATCTTTTATTGCTTTCTTACATTGCTGTAAACAAGAATTGTTGACAGTGAGAAAGATATGGGGTGTATAGAATGTGCGGAGACAATGTAATGTTTTCTCATAAAAATTATCTTGTGATGACAACATGTGAGTAGTGACATAGTCATTGGTGACTCCCTGCATGTATCCCATAAAAAGTGCAATAACCAGCACTTGAATTCTGCATCATGACCCCAACAAATGTTGATTTCTAAATTAAATAATAATGTAAACTGGAATCATGAAACTACTCTCTGTGTTGTTTTTCTGATTGTTTTGATATGAATTTTATAAAAATGCTTTATAATGTTCATTTGACTTGAAGTGGCCAGGAGATCTGACAGACACTAACCAATCAAAGGAACAGCAATTTGGACTTATAAATCAGGCTGTTTCTGGCACTACTGGTATTGGAACTCAGTGCTCACAGCTGAAGATGAGGATGTAATTCCTATAGTAATGTTCCTAGGTGTGATCGTTTTCCTAATGCAGTTCATTTAGAAAATGTTATTGAAATAACCTGTTAGCAACACTTTACCATTAATAAAATTACAACTGTATGATAGAAAACTACAAATATATTCCCCAGTTGGCAACCTGTGCTTCCATGGTGTATGCTCCTATTACTGTGACTCCTCACACCCAATCTGTGGACATCCTATGATGGTAGAGGGGTCTCTTGCAGCCTTCTTACCACCCAATGACATGGCGGGAAGGAAGACATGGAGAAGCCCCTGGAAAAGATCTTACAGCAAACATAAAAAAGTAAATTCAATCACGTTTTACACATGTTCATCATCTGGTTTACATTATTTGTATTTTCATAGTTTTTCAACACTTTCAGCCATATTTCCCCAAGTATAAGACGATCCCATGTATAAGCCGAACCTTGATTTTTAGACTGTTCATTTGGAAATAAAATAAAAAATTAAATAATTATATAAATCTGCTACTATTGTCTGTGGTGCATACTTTTTATAGACCCTACATTTTTATAAAATGTCTTATACTTGGGAAATGTGGTGCATTCTCAAACAAGGTGTTTACTTTGAAATAGCAGTCTTTCAGTTTTGATAGGCAACTGTGAGGCAGAATAAGTCAAAAGAGCAACTGGGATAGAATCAGTTACTGTAACTATAATTGAAAATGAGGTTTCCTGTTGTGAATTCAAATAATGCGGACACAAACAATACATTGCACAGTTTATTGCCTGACATATTTTGCTGTTTCTAGTCAGCTTCATTACATGTACTACTATTTCTGCTCCTCCTCCTTCTCTTGCTGCAGTTACAACATTAAAGAATTCGGGAAAGATGTAAGGATCTTCTTTGTGCTCTCTCTCTCTTCCATTGCATGTGTTGATCTCAGTTTCTTTAAGACTGTTTATGATGCTGTCTTTCCATTTTATCTGACGTCGCCCCTTTGTTTTGTGTTTATTAACATTCCTTAGCTTGGTTCTGTGTAGCAGTTGGTAGCAGGGAATTTTCTTTAGATAGTCAAAGTATTGAAAGTGTTGTTCTTTAATTACCTGTATGACAACGTCCTACATGTCATTTAAATTATTTATTTTTGTAATTGATTTTCATCCTAATCCTAATATTCTTCTCAACAGCTGCATTTTTTTGTGTTTATAGTTTTCAGTTACTAAAATAATAAAATAAATTTTTAGTGACAAGAACTAGATGTCTAGTTTGGTATCTTATTGCCCTTGTATTAAATATATTGCTTTAGTTTAAAAATGATACTTTAAAATAACATATAATACATAGTAAACAAATGGACTGGGGAAATTAGGACGTAAAAAAGAAACCCCAAAAAGAGAGAGGCCAAAGGTGATGGACTGGATTCCATCCATGATACTGCAACAACTGCACAGAATAGAATGGAAGGATAAACTGCTAGCCTTTTGTGGCATATAATGGCACAACAGGTTGATCAGGATGAGGATGACAGTAGAATTACTTGAAACATAATATCACACTTTTGCAGGCATATTGGGAAGTGTACGATGACTTATGCGCGAAGGTTAAGGACAAACACCCATACAATGAAGGACGCAGGCTGCTTGATGTCCTGGACATGTCAGTATTTGACTTCCTAACAGGTGAGTTCTTCTTTCCCAGTTTCCGTATCATAAATCTCATCAGTCGCACAAGCACTGAGTAACAAACAAGGATCGTCTTCTTGATACTGGCGCATTGGCACATTATGCTGGACATATTTGTATAGACCAGGCGGCAGTCGATGGCTGATATGGTCAACATCACGCCAACCACCTTTACTTCCCAGAGCATTAAAAAGAATAACATTTGTTGTGTATCCTTTACAGGACATTACAGAACCAACCCAAATTTAAAAAAAAAATTTTTTTTTGGGGGGGGGGGGGCGGCTGGGGGGAGGAATGTTAGTAATTTCACTAGGTAATTGTACGTTTAGTAGTTTCCCAATGCTTTCTGAATTGTTGGCTCTCGATACCACTGTCAAAACAATGCAGGGTGGTCTGCTGCCAAATTGCCCAAAGCTAGGATTGAACACAAAACCTTGGAATGATGAAGTGTGTTTCAAAAGCCTAAGCCTGAGATGCTGACGTTTGCAGAACATTACCAGGTACCAGTTGTAGAGAGGTTCAAACTTGGAATTAAGGCCAATTTAAAAAAAAAAAAACTGACTCTGTAGACTGGAATCCATGACTTTTGTGTCTGCAGGCAAGCACGCAGCCACTATGCTACCATGATGCCTCCAGAAATATGGTTGAAAGTATTTTCTGCTTGAGCCACCCAAGAGATGCCTTTCTTCAACATATGTCTTGTGGTCTCATGGAAATCCTAATACAGGAGAGGCAGGGCTATACAGCGGGACCAAATCTAGCCCTTGGAGGCCTAGAAAGTAACCCGCTGATCATTGGCAGCTTTATTGTATTAATGAGTTTTTTCAATGAGGAAGCTAAGATCTCTGACCTGTGACGATCCTCTATGTCAGCATTTTGGCCCTGAGTAAATTTAATTGAATAGCCCTGCCCTAAGGCATAACTTTGCCTTGAGCAGCTTATGCCTGTCACCTGTGGATGGCAAAGGAAGTATATGACTGTTACTGAATATTCTTCCTACAACCCTAGGGTTTATCTTTGCCCTGAGCCCTGTGCCTGTCATATGCACAACCAAATGCAATTATATGACTCTTACAGGAGTCGACACATTGTTTGTATCACCCAAAGTTACTCATGTGACTTCATTTTGCATGCATTCTTCTCTTCTCCACTCTTCTCCAGTTTGCTGTAAGATCGTTTCTTATTCTTCCTCACCTACAGTTATCCTTAAAAGGGTGATTAATGCATTGTGTTGTGGTGGACAGCTAGGCTGAAATTTACACCTGCTAATTAGTCACACTAACAAAAACAGGCTTGTAAGAAGGGCGGTGGTAAAATATGAAGAATGTTTCTATCGGGTGCAAAAATAAAAAATACTAACATGCACAATCTGTGGTGACTGCATCAACTATGTGATCTTAATCCTCAGACTCACATCCCTCACCCCTAACACCCTTAAGTATATAAATACAGGAAGTAAAGACAGTTCTGTATCTGCCATCATCATCAAGCTATAAATCCCTTACTGATCTTTAATACCACCTCTTGCACATGGTCCCTGAAGGACAGACTTCTGCCAATGGTTTTTCTGTGGTATTTAAATGTGTTTTCTCTCTTAGAATGCCATTTAGTCTTATGTTTGAGACCTTATCACTTACAAATGTGTTATTTAGTGAACACCATAAACCTACAGCTTAATTGGGATGATGATTCCACATCACATGTTGTTACATCACCAGACAAGATGAAACAGAGAAATTGGCCTTATGTGGGGAAAGTACTAGGCCAGAAAGTAGAGGAAAGAAAAATGTATGCATTAAGCTTAGCTCATTCGCTACCAACTAAATCATGTTTGTTTAACTGACATTGTATACATTTCTAAACCCTTTTTGATCTACCCAGTTCTGACACTAATTCACTTTTTACCAATTGTTGCCTCAACTTTTTTGTCCTGTGGTGTTATTATAATAATCTCTCAGTTCCCCCCCCCCCCCACCCCCACCCCACCAAAAAAAAACGTATTACTTAAAGAAACAAATCCCTAAATAAAATGAAATCAAATGACACCTGTTTGATACACAAAGCTAAAAAGATGGGCATCTAATAATAATGTTAGCAACATCAGCTTTATCAGAGTATCAGATGACTGAAAAGATTAGAGGATCATCTTGAATGAATGAATTTCTACCCCACAAGGACATCACACAAGCGATAAATACCCGATGACACAAAGTGCCACCATGCGGATGAGGATCGCCGTGGAGAGGTCCCAGAAACCGCGTTCAGACAATTGGCCATATTTATGGCCTGCCTATATTGCGGCCCCTGGCAAAAGCCAGGGTGGGGCTTCAAATAACAAAAAATTTCTTCCTAAGAAGGACAAAACTGGATATTATATGATCATCTTAGTCGTTAACTGTTCCAAACTAGGAACCTAATGATTTAAAATCAACTTTCATTTATTATCATACATTTAATTTTGTTCATGTGTGTCTTTCAGGAAACCTAGACAGGCATCACTACGAAACATTCCGAGACTTTGGGAATGACACGTTTATTATTCACTTAGACAATGGCAGAGCGTATGTTTCATTTGTTATTTTTAACTTCAGTATTTCTGTTTTAATATCAGTATTTCTGTGCGGCGCCCCCCCCCCCCCCCCCCACCCCGTTTGTCTTGTTTGCCTTTAAAATAGCACTTAATTCGTTATATTGTAGGAGCCTGACTTTTTTCAAAAAAAAAGGTCGACCCAGCCTTGAGTGGGTACCGGGTGCAGGCCCGGGAAGTAGAGGCGACCGGTGTGATGCTGACCACATCACCCAACTTGTGCCGATGGTCTATAAAAATATATGTCTAGCCCTATATGCCCTATACGCCTAAAGGCGGGGAAAAGGGTCCTTTATTTTGCTTACTTTTTATTGTGATTTACAGCTAGGTGCTAGGCTGAAATAACTATGTCATTCAGCCCAGTACATATGATTTCAGCAGACCATTAGTCCCCTTTTATGAGATACTTGTTAAGAGGTTGTGGGTTTGATTTCAGCAGACCATTAGTCCCCTTTTATGAGATACTTGTTAAGAGGTTGTGGGTTTGATTTCAGCAGACCATTAGTCTCCTTTTATGAGATACTTGTTAAGAGGTTGTGGGTTTGATTTCAGCAGACCATTAGTCCCCTTTTATGAGATACTTGTTAAGAGGTTGTGGGTTTGATTTCAGCAGACCATTAGTCTCCTTTTATGAGATACTTGTTAAGAGGTTGTGGGTTTGATTTCAGCAGACCATTAGTCCCCTTTTATGAGATACTTGTTAAGAGGTTGTGGGTTTGATTTCAGCAGACCATTAGTCCCCTTTTATGAGATACTTGTTAAGAGGTTGTGGGTCTGTTCTTTTTCTCCCTTAATTAGGAAATTAGGAATTTTGTTATTTTATTCTAACAGGGGGGGCTGCATGATCTCGAGATATGGCAGTGCTGGAGGTCCTGGGCTCAAACCCCGGCGAATGCTGGTATTTTTAAACGTGGACTTCTAGTAATTTCCGCTGGTCTCTAAGTAGTAAGACCAGACGCCCATGTGTATTGTTGCGCACGTAAAAAATCCTTGGCAGTGGGAATCGAAACAGAGTAGTCTGATGGCACTGCCCGGACAAAATTTTGATTCTTTAGACTCAGGCTTGAGCTAGACGTAGAACATATGCGTTTACACCTGTGTGCCATGATGTAGATCCATCAACTAAACTAAATTAAACTAAACTAATTAGGAATTTTAATTCAGGAACTCAAAACAAGGACTACGGGTGCATTTTTATATCTACTTATGCCAGGAACACTTAGCAACAAAACAAAAGCAGTAGTCCTTAACATGGATTTCTGCACCGGTCCATGGCAGTAGCCAGTTACAGCCTACAGTTATAACTAGGATTTTTTTGGGGGGTGGAAGGGGGGGGGGGGGGGGGGTGGACCAGCTCGCAAGTAATGCACCAATGCATGCTGGTAGAAGCAAGGATAGAGCTGTTACCATCAGGGCTGTACTGACTTTGCTAGTGGATAATGATTAATCTCTGACACTAACACAGTTGCATGACCTGGGAGTAAGGCATGTGGAAGCAGATCTTTGCGAGACCAAGATAGGAGACCAGCTTCTCATGGGAACAGTCAGTAGAGGTACCCTGGAGTTGCTGCTGCATTGCTGGACTGAACACACATGAGAATGAGAATACCCAGTGTGCAGTGACAACATCATTTTGTGATAACATAACAGCACCATTGGCAGGAAAGTGCATGAAACATGGGAGGTCCCAAAGGACCCACTTGTTTTCAGGTGGGCTGTGAAGGAAGCGATGATATGTAAAGGGTATGCTACATGATGATGATGATTGTAGTAATATGCACATGAGACAACTACAGCATCTACAGGCTTTGACATCTGATTCATATTTCCCTAGCATCAGGGGAAGAGAATATGCTCAAATTCTTTACTAAAATTAACGTAAGTAAAGGACCTTTTAATACCCTTGGTGCATCAGGCTTACAGTACAAGACTGATATTTGTATAGACCAGTCGGCACTTGGTAAGTGTTGTGGCCAACATCACGTCAGCCACTTTTACTTCCCAGCTCAGACTCTATGATTTCTAAAATTGTTTATCTAAAAATGTTATTATTTAAATATAAATATAATTTCACATAGTAAGAAAAATGTTTTGACAACAAAATGGTATAAACAGTTAAAAAGCAAAGAAGATGACAATAACTTGGTGAAATACTGAGTAGAAGCGAACATAGAATCCCTAAACAGATACTTAACTCTTTCAGGCCCGTGAATTTTGACAGGTTTGGCTCACATTAATTTCCCTTTACAAATATGTTGGGTCGGTAGGGAAGGGTTATGTGTGTGTGTGTGCGTGCGTGTGCGTGTAAAAAAAACATGCAATAGAGCATGTAATATTTCTAATCCCTACAAAATTTATATTTTTTATGGAGGAATGGATGTTCATTTGGAATCTGGTGATGAGTATATGTTTAATGTTGCTATAGTAAGTAGTAAAAAAAAATATTTCAGCTGGTATTATGTTTACAAAGATAGCATTTTACCAGAACAATTCCTCAGTTACCATAGTTTTGCAGACGCAATAGCAGTAAATATCCAAATTTAAGAATAACACTTAAAAGTTTGCCTAATTCCTAACAAATAAAAATGTGATAAGTTTCTGGGTTAGTTTATCACTCAGAGGTTGTAGGTTTTTATAGAAAGCTAAACTAGCTTTCAAAGAAAAAATGGCAGAAAAGTGGACAATTACTTGCATGATATTTACTTTGTACAGTTAAATACAGACAGACTGTAGCTGTAAGGATTTCAATGCAGCTTAGCCATAGTATGGTGCTGTTTGAAACATTCATTTAGATGCAGATGTAGGTGACTATCACATCTTTTACAAATGAAATGAAACCTGAGTTTAGCTCAACACAACTGCTGGATTCTCTCACAGCTGACCGCTCATTTAACGCTGACGTAAATTCACCATCTGAATCACTTTCTGAAATTTCTTTTTCAACTTTTCATTATCAGAATCAGAACTCAAAAACATCAGACTGAAACAATTTCTGAGTTTTATCTGCAAAAGGATGCACTTCACAGCCTGTACTTGTGTTCGCAACATTGGTATCCTTGTTAGTTTAAAGATGAAATCAGAAAATTCATTCACTGAAAATTACACTAGCAATGAATTGAATAAATTTACACCTAAATGTACAAACAAAGACTTGTAAGCAAAGTAAAAATGTTAGAGTATCCTTCTCTGAATATTTTAAAGGCAGTTTTAAACATTAAAAACTTATATGGAACAGTAGGCGAATCAATATGTGTGGAACACACAATCGAAGCAGACTGTGGTTTGGGCAAATCGGAACACACCTAGCCTGAACGAGTTAAATGAGAAACAAATGGATTTAGGAGATTAGGACATCACAAAGAAACCCAAAGATGAACTTTGATGAGACAGGCCAAAAGTGCTGGACTGGATTCCATCTATAATAGGGAAACAGTTGCACAGGAGAGAATGGATTGGAAGAATAAACTACGAGCTCTGTATGACATATAACACCACAACAGGATGATAATATGTAGAACATGTTGGTCACATTGCCTTTAAAATAAAGTACTAGATTTCACTTGGTGAAAAATCAGTAGCAGATAATTATAATATATTCTTTTGAAACATTTCACAGCTTCGGCAAGTCCAAGTATGATTGCATATCCTGCCTGGCACCAGTTCGGCAGTGCTGTATGATTCGCTTGTCAACCCTGACAAAGTTGGTGAAGTTTTACATTGGTCCAGACAGCCTCAGCCAAGTAATGAGAGAATCATTGAAATCAGATCCTTTAAATCCCATTTTGGTAGAACCACATCTTGACGCACTAGATAGGCGAGTCAGTAAAATTTTGCATGTTGTAAATGGATGCCTAAAGAATGGGTCATCTTGGAATGATGTTATTATTGATGATGGTGTTACATGATAGATAGATTTGAATGTGTTTGTTGTATTCTCGATACAGAGATGTTCTGTGATAATAGACATACTGTGTATGTCAGGAGATGATTAATGCTATATCTTCATTGTTGCTGATTTGAGTATGACTGTATTTGTGAAAGCAGCTTTGTTTAAGCTGAGGTGTTGTATGAATGCTTTTTCCGTATGATGTACATATATTTCATGTTTACGTCAACAAATTTGTTAGATGGGGCAACTTTATTCTTCTTCGTGTTCCCTGGCTGTAAACTCTGGTGGAAAATTCTGGTTGTTTGTCCACCTCTGGACTTTAGTCTTGTTCCAGAACCTGAGTGTAGTGTTCACATCCGTTTAACAGATCTGACCTAATTCTTTGCAGATTGTTAGTTCCTTGCCTCTCAGTCAGATGCACTCCGACTTCGAAGGGAGTCCCCAATTAGTCGACTCTTACGACATGCTTGTTGGGGAGGCAGTGGGTCTATTCTTGTTTTCCCCACAATGTGGCCACAGAACCCACACGGGGAATATGGTTAATACAGAAAAGAAGAAGTTAGCCACTTAAAGTTAACACAGTAATAATTACTCTAGTTTCTATTTCAAGCATCTTATGCCTTTTTCCCCCCATTAACAGAGCTGTTGGTATTGATTCTCCTACAGTAGCTTGCTCCTGTTTCTTCTCAATTCTTATCAACTTCTTCTTCTTCACTTTTAAAAGGGGAGTTGGGTTTGTTGTGCTTCACAGATACAGTTAGACTGCAAAGTAGGCACTTTTTAGCCCAACACATCTGATTTCAACAACTCTTCAGTTAGTTGATTTTTGTAATGTGTGGGCTAGAGGCCAGTGTGTCTTCTTATTGTTCTCCAGCATGTTACCCCATAACCCATATAGGAATTGTTGGCATTGCATACAGCAGCAACAAAGTTTACTCAGGGCCAAAATTTTGCAAATGGGAATCATCAAAAGCATAGAAAGATCATTAAAACAGAATAACAGGCAGTAATCTATGGACCACTGGCTGGGTACCCATGGGTCAGATCTGGCTTTTGGGCCACCTGTTGAATAGCCATGGTATAGAGGAACTCAATTTTGATTTGTGTGAGCTATCCTTAAATTCCAGTGGGCTTACTAAACAAGGCTTCTCGCTTTTAATAGTGTCTGACTTAGTTTCATTGAAATAGAGAAATGATAGCTTTAGAGTGACTGACAACAGAGCACTCAGGCCACCCAATCTACATGTTCATCTCCTAACACATTGACATTCCCTGAAGAAAATATGCAGAGGATGCTAACTACCCTGGACCTCTGAAGTGATGCTTGCCACTCTGCATGGAGCATTCCTGTCTCCACCTTTTGCAACATGCTTCATACCTCTTCTTGCTCAATATTCTCAAGTCTGCACACATGTCTGATTGTGTCTTCAACTTTAGAATGAATCGACAGTAACACTTGTAATCAGTTATTGTTGTTTAACTTTCACCATATGCCTTTTCAAAACTTGACACTGAAAGTCAAAATAGAGTCTAGAGCAGTAGTTCTCAACCTTCTTAAGGCCACGACCCTTTAATACATTACCCCAAGTTGTGGTGATCCACAACTATAGAATTTTTTTGCTGCTACTCATAACTTCAGTTAATAAGAGTTTTCCGATGGTCTTAGGCAACCCCTGTGAAAGGGTCGTTCAACCCCTATAGGTTAAGAACCGCTGGTCTGGAGGAAAAGAGAAAGTTGAAGATCATTGTTTAGTTTAGTTTACCTCTGTCTTTTTACATCTGTGGCCCATCAAAACAACGGATTTTGTTTTGCAGCACGCCTGATAGCTAACCAAAGACAGAAACAAAAGCAAATGTAGATAGCAAATTACACAGAATTACAGTTTTCACCTGATTTTGCATCTGCTGCTGCTCAGAGGTTAGAAAATATATGCGGTTGAATGAGGTTTCTGGGATTCATGCGGCTTTTATGTTCATGCATGATGTGGTAATACTACCGACTGCAATTCTGAAAGAGAAGAACTACCTACCCTACCAGTTACATGGTTAGGCCAAACAAAATGTGTGGTCTACTTGGACTTTTGATGGCCCACCAGTGGACTGGGGCCCATCTATTAAAAAAAAACTGGTTTAGCTAATCTAACTGATAATTAAAATCAGTAAATAATTTAGAATTTTACTGTTGTGCTTGATTCAATCTTTAAAACAATTGACAACTTCCATAACAATTGTAAATATCATGATTAATTAGAGATGTTAATTTTTTTTTTTTGCTCTAAAATTTTTTTTTTATTACTGGGCTGTAATTTTAACTGTTGTATTTTTTCGTTAATTTAAATGAACTTCATTTTTAACATATCCATTCAGACCAATTGTTTTAATTCATAGCCTAAATATTGTATTTTGTCTGTTGATGTTAAGATTTACTAATGTATCCATCCATAATTTAGTCATTGTTATTTCTTTATTTAATTTTTTATTTTTAAAGTAGTCAAACCATTTTTGTCACATACAAGCCATTTCAGCAAAACATTTTTTTCTAGTATTTCAATAGTAAATAAATTACTCTGTTTACTTTACAACATTTCTTTGCTAACTAGACTGCATTACCTCTTTAATGTTGAATATATATATATATATATATATATATATATATATATATATATATATATATATATATATATATATATATATATATATATATATATATATATATATTATTCCAATAATATTTCAGTAGAAGGAAGACTGTTTGTTTTTCCATTGAACTTCAGTGGTGTATTTTTATTGGGGCTATATAAAACCATTTTTTTTTTTTTTTTTTGTAGTTTGCTTTTTTAACTGTTATATATATAGCTTTTGTGAGTCATTTAAATGGTAAAATTTTCCATTTCCTTGATATTTACTAAGAGAAGACCAAATATGTCTTTATTACATAATATATCTGTGTGTGTGGGTGGGTGGTGGTCATGTGTGTGTGCGTGCGTGCGTGCATGCGTGAGAGAGAGAGAGTGAGTGAGAGAGAGAGTGAGTGATTGATTGATTGATTGATTGATTGATTGATTGATTCATTCATTCATTTTGCCACAAATATTACAACATAAGTTTTTATTCTTACTAGCTCAGCATCCTTGATATTTGATCAGAGTGATCACTGTACATTAAGGTTCTACATGATCTGTTCTCCATTCCTTGATTTATGCATGTTTCTTGTTACTCTTAAGTCCCCAAGTGCTTTTTCTTGTTTTTGCATGATCTAAACAGCAAACATCATTACCAGAAGTGAATGAGGAAACTATGAAGGTATGGATGGTTGTTTGAAAACATATATGTATCTATATGTTAATATATATATATATATATATATATATGAAGGGTTGTGTGAGTTGCTGTGGTCTAGCAATTAGACTCTCACCTGTGGATCCTAAGGTTGTAGTTTCAGGTCCTGATGGAACCAGACTTTTTCAAAAATGACCTCGGCTCCCAGGTCAACCCAACCTTCAATAGGTCAGAGAAGTAAGGGTGGCTAGCAGGATGTTGACCACATCACCCACTGAGTGCCGCTTGGTCTATACAAATATAGGTCTAGCACTATATCTCCATGCACCACTGGGCATGAAAAGGATCCATTATTACTTACAAAATAAATAGTCTTGTCCTGTTGCTTCCTGACTTGTCACCACTTAATTTCACATAACTAAATTACTTGTTCTCCAGGTCAGCCCTAGGTTTTTCTTAGCCACTTTAAAGAATGTCTTCAAGATCTTCATAATTCCCTGTTCTTCCTAATCAGCTGAATCTTTGCCATTTTATTTGTTAACCTAGTTAAACCAAAGAACATCAGCGGAAAATACTTTTCCAGTTTGTTTTAAATGACAAATTCATTTTTTAACGTAAATCTGCTGCTGGTACCATTAGAGACTGGAACTCTGCTCTAGCTGCTAAAGATGAAGATGGAGCACTTATGGAAATGTTCTGAGTGCTGTGTTGCTAGTTCTTCACTTAGCTCAATTCAACACAAAATAATTTTGTGTTTCTGTAACAAAACATTACAGGCAACTCAAAGAATGAAATTCTTCTGACTTTTATCTGGTAACTTTGGGGAAAAAAGGGAAAAGGACACCAAAGAAAATATTTGTAAAGTAGACAGATACAGATGTAACAGTGCAGAGAAATACAAGAATGACAAATGTGCAATGGAATGATCAGGAAACTTCATGATCAGTTCACAAGCTAAAATGCTGATGTCTAGAAGCTTTACTAATAAGGCTTTCATAAGCTGTATTTATTTGTATATTTTTGCTATTAAGTACTTTTAGTATGTTGATAAACTTACATCTGATGTAGTTTTTTGTTTTGTTTTTAGGAATGTTGATAATCATAATATGTCACTAATAGTTTTAGTATAGCAGTAGAAACACTCGTAATATTCTAGATTTTGTCTGGCTCATTCCCCATATGGGTTCCAGAGTCCAGTTTTGGAGGGAAAAGAATGGACACACTGTCCCTTAACAAGTAAATCATTATAGGCGACTGATTAGGAGTTTGCTGAAATCAGATGTGTTGGGATGAAAGGCACACGTATTATAACCTGGCTGTAAACCACAACACACTGTGCTAACTTCTCTTAACAGGGCAAATACAGAAGAAATACAGAAGGAGAAGAAGAAAAAGATTTAGTTCATGATCTTCTGTTTAAGATAAGGCAGACATGGTGATTTTATAAGAATATTAGCAATTAATGTCTCTCTTCTTCTTCTTCTTGATGTTCACAGGCTGTAAATTCCAGCAAAAAATTATGCTCATCCACCTCTGGATTTCTAGACTTGTTCTAGAACCTGAGTGTTGCGTGCATATTTGTTTAACAGATCTGGCTTATTGTCCTTGAATCTCAGGCAGATGCACTCTAACTTTGCAAGATTGCCCCAATTAGTTGACTCCTACGACATGCTTGTTGGGGAGGCAGTGGGTCTATTCTTGTTTTCCCCAGAATAGGGAACGACAATTCACATGGAG